CATTTTTACAAACCAATTCTGGTTCATCTGTTTCACTCAACAATCCGCCTTTCTCATTCTCCATTACCGCCATGCTTTTTCTGCCATGTGTGTATGAAAACAAAGGCACGTTTTATGCGTTGCGTGTTTTACCCATATTATATCGCGAGATTTCATTTTCTTATCGTTGTCTAGCAGTATGATATGGCCCAGCTCTACCTACGATTCAGTCATACAGTTTGATCAGGAGCTGAATAACGCAACTGAAATAATCGCACAGTACATTAAGCGGAAGTCTCTACTGGCTTGTGTTTTGTTCCCCCTGCAGGTCATCCTCATGACTCTGGATATCAGTAAGATCTCAGTCCTGTTGGGAACGCTTGGCTTCAGCCCCGACGTCGGACAGAAGACGCTGATCGTAGCAAACTCCTTTCAGGAGGTCGAAGATGTGTTCAAGGTTACACGCCGGCTGCTTTTTACATCCAAGTATATATTTTGTCATAAAGTCAGGACAGGAAGATATCGACTTCATCCTGTCTCTCAAACGACCAAACACAAACAATGATCTCATGTAAATGTATGCAGTGAAACACAGATATCCAGTGCCGTAAAATAACAAGTCAATCCTTACTGCTTCAATAATAATAATGGATAGCATTTATATAGCACTTTTCTAGGCACCCAAAGCGCTTTACAATGCCACTATTCATTCACTCTCACATTCACACACTGGTGGAGGCAGCTACAGGTGTAGCCACAGCTGCCCTGGGGCAGACTGACGAGGCCGCCATATCGCGCCATTGGCCCCTCTGGCCAACACCAGTAGGCGGTAGGATAAAGTGTCTTGCCCAAGGACACAACGACCAGGACAGAGACAGGGGATCGAACCAGCGACCGTCCGGTTACAGATGAGCTTCCCAACCCCCTGAGCCACGGTCGCCCCGTAGTAATACAGTAATATACTCTACAAACAAAACACTAGACACATAAACCTGCTTCACTCACACACACTGATGTTTTATAATCTTCACCTTTTAAAAACAGCTCCAGTTCTCTGTGGCACTCAACTGTGTGCAATTGATTAAACTAAAAGTAATAATTTTAATTTAAATCTGCCCTCCTGACCTTTTCTTCCGTCAGGCTGTGAGCACCAGGTCAGTTTTCTGCCTCAAGATCCACGAGGGGTTAACTCACGACATGGACTTTGTGCTCGAGCAGTGGAAGAAGGACATCGGCCCCGGCACTCACGTTATTCTCGGTAACTGAAAATAGTTCTCAATTTGTTTTGATGGTGACCGTTAACCTGATTGCATGAACCTGAACGTGAGCCGTGCAGTTGTCATTTCTTTTTCTTGTTTGACCTTTGACCTCTAGTAACCACCGACGATTGTCTCAAGGGTCTGGATATCAGAGATGCGACCTGCGTCGTCCATTACAGTTTCCCCTCCTCTCCTAAGCTCTTTGGCAGCCGACTCTTCTGCATGGCTGAAAACTTCAGGAACTTCTCAAAACGAGTAAGAACGAGTGGCGGATGCACTTTATTAGGAACACCTGTACACCTGCTTATTCAGGTAACACAGGGTCCTGCAGCTACGGAACAAGTGTATGCTCACACAAACATCCAAACAGAAAAACTGTGGTTGTCTATATTTCTTCTGCCGCTGTGCTCTGATCTGACCCAGAATTAAAAGTTTAGTGATGATCTCGTCTCTGCAAAACCTCAAGAACCTCAAGAGGAGCTTGACAATGAGCCCAGCCGTCAGCAAGGCCTCCAAAATACTCATATTCCAAAGTGATCAGACTGTAAATGAAACAAGCTGGTGCAGCAGAGTTCAGGAGATTAAGACCCTGAACACCACCCTACCATTCTCTGGGGCTGACAGTGGAGCTGTGTGGAAAATATGGCTTTCAGAGCAAAGGGAGGCCATATGTATTTTGGTGTTCTTAATAAAGTGCTCAGTATTAAGAAACGTAAGCAGATGTTAACCGTCAATGTTTGAGGTCCTGGATGACTTTTTAATTTTTCTCCTCAGGATCAAACGAGCAGCAGCTCAGCCGTTACCAGGTCGGTGCTGCTGATCTCAGAAAGGAACGCCCGCCACGTCATTGGGATTCTGCGCTACCTGGAAAGGGCAAATGCCCTGCTGCCCCCCGAGCTGCTGACCTTCGCACAGGGGGTACAAATGGCACGCGAGGACCAGAAAACAGACCGCCCCCTCTGCAGCTACCTGAAGAGTTTTGGCGTGTGCAGGTCTCCAGATTATACACGACTCTGTGGTTTCAGTCTTGTTCACTGGTCCGGGCCTTATTCTTTAGTCTGCAGATGAGTTTGTCTGTCACATGGATGACTTACTGGCAGCCGTCTTTCTCATGCTGGGTTCTTTTGCCAATCAGATTTTTACCTACCCTTTTTTT